AATAAACTTAAAATAAAAATTATAAAATGAATATTTAAAATTTAAGAAAATTAAGGAAAAAAAAGAGTTGTGAATTGACTGTGATGGCTAAACTTGGTTGTCAGAGTCACACACCCAGGAATTTGGAATCCGTATTAAGGAATTGCCTCCATCAGGTTGCCCTATGGGACACTGCCTGTGGGACATCCTCTTGCTGACTAACTGATGTAGAGTCCAGCCTACCGTGGGTGCTGCCACACCTGGAAAGGCGGGCCTGGCCTGCACAAGAGAGGTGGCTAGATGTGAACCTGGGAATACCAGTCTTTCCTCCCCACCTGGCTTCTGGTCACGGTGTTTACCACAGCACAGAAAGCAAACTAACACAAGGGTGAAGCCGTGGGAGCAACTCTAACAAAACCTCTCCACACGCCTCATTCCGTGCAGTGACCTCGCCCAGTGTGAGGGGCAGAATGGTGAGACTGAAGGGGCGCCTGAGAGGCTGACGGGCTGTGGAAACTGGAGGCTGGTGATGTCTTCACTTCATGCCTCTCTGTGTCTCTATCTCACCTCTCCTGTCTGGAAAAAGCCTCCTCTTGTTGGTCACAGCTGTTCTGCACAGAGGATCTGAATTTGGCTCTTTGAGGCTCTCTCTGCACTGTCATCTTTCAGTCTCCATTTCTGCCATAAATACACTCATTTTCTTTTCAATATTAGGTCTGTATTCAAACTTCTGAGGGAAGCATGGCCAGCCCACTGTAACCAGAAGCCCACAGAGCCCTGGGAGAGGAAGTCTTTTGCAGAAATCCAATGTGACCCTGAATCGCTCAGTGTGTGGTCTACAAATCAAGAACGAGGATCATTTTCCAAATTCTGTGGCTTTGAGTCTTTTCCAGAAGTGTCCTCACCTGGCCACAAAACAATGCAAAAGGCTACCAAGTTACCCCGGAAGCCATCTTTCCCCACCCTGCCACTAAAGCAGCATCATCAGGGAGGTGTGAGCTCACACCCCCTCTCTATGGCCTAAAAATGGATCCTGTGTGAGCTGCTAAGCTCTCTGAGTTTGGGTTTCCTCATCTGTAAAATGAGACTCCTCACAGAGAAAGGAGACTTAGAGAGTGCCTGGCTCCTACCAAACACACACACACACACACACACACACACACACACACACACACACACAGCTCCTCCCCTAGGAGGTTCGTTTTCTCTGGGTCAAGCCTGTAGAGTCACCTTCATGCACAGAGAGGACATTAGAATAATTCTGTGTGGATGGAGCCACGAAAAAACCCAGGAAATAAATGACTAGAGCTGCCAGCCAAAGCAATTGTTGTTTCTCCCCTGCCAAGCCTGATTTTCCCAGAGATACAGCGTGTCTTTGGATAAGTCGGAGACTGCTCGATCCAGATAAAGTCTCTCAGGCAGGCAGCGTGTTTATAGTCAAATGCTCACTTCCACTTCAAGTTTCCAGTCCCCTGCTGGTCCTTTCTGCAAACTTAATTAATTAGCTGTGGTGAACATTTGTTCAACCTCATGCGGCAATGAGACTGAAGAAGACAGGCTCTCATAAATTAAAACATTTCAAAATATTGTCTTCTCCCAAGAAAACATTCCTTTTTGTTAAATTAACACTCCATTTGGATAACTTTAAGGTTTCAAAAGAAAACAAACAAGGAAGCTCCAGCTGATGCTGTTTGTCTTTAACTGTTTCTCCCATTGTTCTGTGACTCCATTCCTCCTGTTCTCATCATCTTTAACTGTTTCTCCCATTGTTCTATGACTCCATCCCTCCTGTCCTCAGCATCTCGGCCCCTTAGTAGATAGAGCACAGGTCCTCCATCCACCCACTTGATGATACTCAGGCAGGCATTCCATGAAGCCCTAGAGTCAAAAAATGCTTGTCATGCCCCAGGGAACATGGAAGAAGAGGAAGAGGGAGGAAGAGCTGCCCAGAGAGGTTGCACACAGGAACCAACTGTGTGCTGTGACTGAATGCATGAGATCTAAGGAAGAACGAGCCAAACAAAATCCCAGCATGGATGGAGGAAGAAGAGTGAATTCTCACCCCTAGCTGAACAGCTATTGACAACCATTAACTTCAGGGGGTGGGAGGCAGTTTTCTTCAAGGACATAGTCCTGAAGACGGCCTATGTCCAAGTACATGGCCTCCAACCAAAGCGAATACTGGCAGCATTAAGTGGAATTAGTAGCTTTTATAAAGAGAGCACATAAAATTAGGAAAAAATAGTGGGCATAGAAGAGGAACTGGAGAGGAATGAATAGGGAGTGTTTTTGTTCATATTAGTTACGTGTATGAAATTCTCAAGAAATAAAAATAGAATAAATGTTTGTCGTGTGCCCCTCAGTCACAGATTAAGTTCTGCCTGGACCACAGGCAGAAAGAACTGTTGTGTTGGGGAATGTGAAACTTCCCTGCCATCTTGATGGCAGTGATGTCAGTAATACACTTCCCTCTGCTTCTCTTGCAGGATGTAACCACACAGGCTACAAAGTGACAGGAAGAGAGGCTGGGAAATGGACTTCCAGCAAATGCCATCTCATCCCTACAGTCTAGTCCAAGGGTTTCAGATCCTGCATTCTGATCCTGCTACAGTTTGGATACTTTAACATATTTCAAAGGTCTGGGTGGGTGTTCAAGATTCTTCCTTCTGAGGACACCTTCAGGAGGGAATAAACCCTTCAAGATGTGGAGCCTGCAACTGGGAGATGGCTCCATGGGTAAAGATGGCTCACTTATACTACAAAGGTCAGGACTTGCGTTCAAAAACCACAGCACACTGGTGCAAAGCCACACATAGCTGTGTGTGCCTAATGCCCCTGTGACATAAGGGGTGGAGCCAGGAGGTGTGCTGAGGCCTGTTGGCAGCCAGAGTAGCTCCAGATTCAGCGAGAGACTCTTACCCCAATGAATAAGGCGGAGAGTGACAGAGCAGGACACCTGATGCCCTTCTCTGGCCTCCATGATATACATCCATGCACACAAATGTGCCTATATCACACACAGGAATGGGGCCTGCTCAGGGGCCTTGGGAATACCCGAAATGAAACTGTGGTCGAACCGCTCTTTCTTTCTCCTCTGTTTATTTCTGACTATGAGGTAACCAGCTAGCTGTGTTGTTTTGCCGCACCACAGGCCCAAAACAAGTGGGTCAACTGTGTCTCTGTTATGGTGGCTGTGGTTGATGGGTTCATTGTCTGGTGTCTCAGCATCTTTCCTCTGGCTACATTAATGTCTCCTCATCCTTCATAGGTGATGATAATGATTCTCAGATTCAAAACTCAATTACAAACACAGTTGTAGAATCACTGGCCAAAGCATCAACACGGAAGGATGCCAGGGATTTGAGAGTGAAGGAAGTAAGCCTGGGTCACTGATCAGGGACCTGTTAACTCAAGAGAACATGAGGCCACGAGTCTCCAGAGTTCTGTCAGCAGGGAGGCTGACCACAAACAACAGAAAGGGGATAGAGAGGGGACATCAAGATGGCTCAGCAAGTAAAGGTGCTTGCCGCCAGCTCTTACCACCTGCTTTCTCCAGAACCAACAGGAGAGAAGAGGAGAGAAGAGCCCTTCAAACTGTCCTCTGACTGTCCACACTGTACCACAGCATGCCCTTGCCCACAAACATACACACAAACAAACACAATAAACAAATGCTAAACAATTAAAAGCATCTGGCTATAATAGCAGAAAAGGCCTGTCTTAGCTGTACACAGAGTGGCAATAGCCACTTACAGAAAAGAACCTCCACTTGCATTTAACCGTAACAGTCGTGGTAATTAATATAACACCTGATGTTTTAGAAAAGTTTTGCTTTAATCTTTGACTTCTGTTAGTTAATATGCCACTGTGAGCATCTACATATCCACATTTCTATTCAAATGTAAAGACACGACATTCTCTGTACCTATGGCTACAGTGTAACCTGTCTTTCTGCTTCCACCTCTCTCTACATACAATACATAACATATATGTGATATCTATGTCAAAATATGAACAAAAATTTAAATGTACAGTCAGCCTTCTGCACCCATAGATTCTATATCTGTGAATTTAGCCACGTGCGGATTGAGATTATTGCAGAAAAAAAAAAAACCGTATATGCACGGGCGGTTTTCTAGCCATTGTTCCTGCCTGCAGTGTGACAACTGTGTAGTGTCATGTAGTATCAATTTCTGCCACTTTGGAGGCTGAGGCTAAAGGATTGTTTCAAAACCAGGCAGGGCTACACAGTAAGTTCTCACCAGCCTGGGCTTCAGTGTGGGATCTCATCTCAAAATCAAACAGTAACTAAGGAAGATTTGAACTGTATAAGAGAATATAACTGCAGTTAAGTGCGTCATTTTATGTATGGGAATCATCCTCAGATCTTGGCAAGGAGTACAGTTCTAGAACCAGTTCCCGCAGGAAAAAATACATGTGCGTGTGTACACATGTATGCGTATTTACATATATATCGTTATGCAGAAGCGTGCGTTCTAAGTGTATATCATATCATAGAGACAAACAAGTGAGGAGAAAGAAAACTAGTTAGCAACAGCTCTTGGCCAAAACAGTACAGACTTTGCTGGGGATAGCTATATATCGAACTAAAATAATATTTTCAGCATCGCTTACACGTAGGGGAGGCCACCTACAGCATGGCTGACACACGGGGTAGGCAGAGTTATGGGATGGAGTACCCAGAAAGGCTCGTCACACAAGGCAGCCCTCCCTCTGCCTGGCTGCTCCTCACTATCTGGAGCAGAGACGCTGTGTTTGAGAAGGATCAGTTTGGCTTGCGATGCTGACAAGACAAATCCATGCTAAAGCTGAGCAAACGTGTGAAGAGAGGTTTCTCTCTTCCTACCCAAACACAGCCCTCAGCTCCGGGTGCGCCACTCCATGCCTCTCGCATTATGGGAAAACTATAACCTCTCTTTTTTAGTCTTCTGTTTAGGGACCTTCATTTGGAGCAGTGAAACATCATTCTTAATTGGTACAAGAGGAACATTGATCCTTACCCTGCAGGCATTTGTACTCCACTGACAGAACAAGGAAGGCGTTTGTGTTTGACCTGCTTAAACAGCACTGACGTGTATATGATTGGCTTGTACAGGTGATCAGTCTGCAATGCTCTGGAGCTTGAGAAAGAGAGACGGGTGAGTGACCTGAGTCTTGGCAAAACATTTTGAGGGCATGAGGTGCTGATCTTGTCCTAAACCAGAGAAATGTTTATAACTAGAAATCAAGGAAGCAGGTTTGGGGGAAAAAAAAAGACATCAGGGAGAATTCAGTGACAAAAGCAGGACATTGTGCACAAGCCATGGCAAAGTTGAGAAGGGCTGGCATAATGCAGAGAGCAGGTGATGGCAGCTTGGAGAGCCAGGATGTGGACCTGCAGGCTGTGACACCCCGTCTATCCTCAGCTACTCAGATCTTCTGTTGGCTCCTTGGCTACTGCTCCATCCTTTCACGTTTCCAATTAGCTTTAACCATTAGTCAGCACAGCCAATCCCAGGCTGTGGTGGTTGATTGTAACCCTCACCTTGACTGGACTGAGAAGGGCCTGGAGATTAGGGAAGCACACTTCAGGACTGTCTGTGTCTCACAGAGAGGGAAGGACCTGCCCTGAGTGTGGGTGGTACCATCCTATAGACTGAGGACCATGGTGGAAAGAAAGGAGGGAAGAGAGACACCATGGGGAGCAGACATTTCTCTCTGCTTCCTGGTTTCTCAGAGATAGAGGCCTCCGGGACCACTTGGAGATGGGGGAGGGCTCTGGGACTACTAAAAGATGGGGGACCTATTCGGCATGTCTAGTAGGATGTTCCCTGGCGTCTGGTAGAACAAATCCAATCACACATCCTTCCATGGAACACATATTCAACAAATATCTTTTTAATTAAAAGTGCATTGAATTTATCGGATGCTGTGGGTTAGGCCAGCAAAAATGTCAACAAATTAGACTAATCACTTGATTAAAAAGCTGACTGAGGTTACAGATGATGAGTTCATGAATGCATACTTCAGGGAGGCTGCTCACCCATCTTTCATGTCCATAATACTGATCGTGCTGAGTGTTTCAGATGCTCCAAGCCAATGCAGTTTGTGTGAATCACAGGAAGTAAAGGAAATCTCATTGATGTGTAAAATTTATTATGGTTTAACGACCACAAACTGAGGTTCAGTTAAATCACAGACATAGACAAATTTGCCTTGGATTGTCAGACAACTGCCTGTGTCATTGTTTATTAGGCATCAATTCTTTCTTTTCTAGTTCATCTTATTACTTCATCTTGATGGGTGTTTTGCCTTATGTCTGTATAGCATGTCTGTGAGTGCCATGAAAACCAGAGGGCCCTGGATCTTCTGGAACTAAAACTACAGACAGTTGTGCATTGCCAAGTGGGTGCTGGGAATTGAACTCAGATCCTCTGGAAGAGCAGCCAGTGCTCTTAAGCTCTGAGCATCTCTCTAGCCACAGCAAGCATATCTTGTTGAAAATAGAAATGTGCAGGATGGAACCAGCTGTGCCCATCCAGAATTCCTAATGAATTATGGGAACTCACACTGTCCTTTTCATTTATCAGACCCAAACAGCACTGCTGGAGTTGCCTCTTTGAGTCAAAAGACACAGTTCCTTTAGGAGATGCAAACACAGTCCATATTTAAAGACAAGTTGGAGCAGGAACCACAACCTGCAGTTCCCATGTGATAACTGGCCCCTTTAGTAGAGTCACCCAAACAAGGTAACGAAGGACTCAGTACGTGCATATCCTGAGGGACATGTCCACTAAAGCAGCTACGGCATGGCTTTGTTTTAACAGGTCAGAGGATACATAAGAGAAAACTCTGGATAATGTGTTTTTAAAATTTTCCTTTCATCTTGACATCACTAAATGATTGGGAGTGCTCTCCATTACGCTCCTTAATGACAATATCCTTTTCTCTTACAAATACCTTTGAAGTCTCCTACCGCCTATTACAAGTATTTGGATACTTCCCCAGCCGGAGTGGGCAGCAGGCCAACACAAGCCACCAGGTGCCAATATTACACCTGACAAATCAGCCACACGACTGGAAAAGGGTGGGCCCGTCCTCTGTCACAGCTTCATTTCCTCTCGTTTTCCCACGAACAGGAAGTCGTTGGAATGGGGAGAAAAAAGCTTCCCTTAAAGACCCAGATGACCAGTGAACAAAGTTAACTCCTTGCTGCCAAAAAACTGAGAGGTGGCTTCAAACACAGCCAAGGCCTTGTCTGCATCAGCTTGCTTCACCCTGCTGACTCCCGCATTTGAGGATGCTGTAATTGCTTTAACACCCAGTGCCCATGGGGCAGATGAGGTACCCTGGATGCCTCAAGACAGGTGACAGGAGAGGCCAGTCTACTGTAGCCCTTGTACAAATCAAGAGAATCTGAAGTTTGAACACTGTCTGCCCAGAACGTACTGATGGAAAGAATCTGATCAGAAACTGAGATTCTAAAACAACCAACTGCAGCACATTCTCAGGTGCTTGGTACAGCTAAACACCTAGACTACCACCTAAAGGAGCCGCTCAGCCTGATCAGGGTCCAGGAAAGCGTGATAAAAAGAATGTTTTTCAGCAGAGCAGATACGTGCTCACTCTTATGTTGGTGCTACGTCACGAGACCCCTGCTGTGTCACACCTCTGCAGTGCAATGCTATTAAAACCCACTTTGTCTGTATATATGTGTTTTGAAAACTATTACCCAAAACAGAAGTGGGGAGAAGGTGTGTCAAGTGGGAAGGTAAATCTAGGAGGAGTGAGGAGGAAGAGAAATGAGAGATGGCCAAATACAGTATATGCATGCACAGAATTTTCAGGTAATTAGTTAAAATATCGTAATTTAAAAATTTAAACTATTACTGAAAAAGTACATAATGCAGAATGTCCTAGAACTTTCCATTTTGCCTAGCAACACAGCTGGCATCTGTCCTGGGCAGTCTACAGACAGTGTCTCCATTAACTGAAAGAGCCAACCAACTCCTGGTAGCAGAACCAGCAGCCCCAGCCTTTTCTGTCACCCTTCTTTTACCATAAACAGGGTTAAACCTATTATTCAAATGTCCTCTGGTCACATACATTTCTTCTGAGAATGGCTTTTTATATGTTTTTCTCATTTTGAAAAGCAAGCTACTTCTATCTGTCTACCTAACTTGTATGTACTCTTTGAATAATGGATCTGAACCCTTTTCTAAAATGTATAATTCAAACCTTTTGTCCCAGTTTGCCTCTTCTCTTCTAATTTTCTAATGATTTTTTTTAATGCTGTCATGTCTGTTGGGTTTTCCTTACTGACCTCTGGCTTTGCCGTCTTGCTTACAAAGAACTTCTAGCTCAAGATTACAAGTTTAAAGGTTAATGCAGTTTTTTATTGTACTTACATAGATGTGAGTTTCAAGCTCAGAGCTTTGTTCCATCTGGAATTTACTTCTGTGTATAGTGCAAGTCCAGATGGAGAGACAGTTGTCCCGGCACCAGGCACGTGTTCAGCCACAGATCTGAAATGCCTCCACACTCCACACTCACAGCAGCACTCTTCTGCAGTCCTGGGTCTGCTTCTGGACTCTCATCTTGCTTAATCAATTTCTCTGCTGCCCCTGAGCACTCGGCACTGTTTAAGATGTTCTGATTGCTTTGAGAACCGTTATGATGTGTCTGGGCTTGTGCAAAAGAAGCTGGGTTTTGTTGCTCTTTCATGGGTCTTCCTTTCACAAGAACGATACCACGGGCTGATCCAGTTCACTAAAGCTTGGAAGTAGGATGGCATTTCAGCTTATGGGAAAGCCAAAGAAAATTTTTACATCTTACAGGTATCTGATTAAAGCTCAATTTACATTCCATAAAATAAAGTAGTATTTATATTTTCCTATGCTTTAAAAACTAATTCACTTAAAGCGGCCATGGTGGGGGCCCTGTCCCCAAGTGGATATCTGTAGCATAACTCCTACACATGAGGCTCGGGGAACGTTCCGGAAGAGAGGCAGAATGACTGCAGAAGCCGGATGTCTAACAACCAGGCTAGGTTTTCCTGGCCATGCCCGGGATGCCGCACTCAGGAACTCCCAACAATTTGGCAGCCTACATAAGACCATCCTCGTATTTGGGCCAGTATGGAAAGGCCAGCCATTTTAGAGTGACCAAAAATGCTTAATTAATCTGGGAAGTGAGAGTCCTTTTAGGGGAGAATGTGGGGAGGGGTGTGTACGGTGGACTGGGAGGAGAGGAAGGGTTTCGATCAGGACGTAAAGCCAGGACTGTCTTCAGCCAGGGGTGTTGACAGGAAAACACTGTTGTGCCTGACTCAGTGGTAACATGAAGGTGACCCTGGGGCCTCTTTAGGTGATTCATCCCCTTGTCACATTTTAAAGCCCCCAAGTTAAAATAAAGCACCCTAAAGGCCCCTGGGTACCTGTATGCCTGTGGAGAAGAGATTTCTAAGGCCCAGCATCAACTCGCTTTTGATTTTTCCCTTGAGTTTATTTCTGTCACCGTGAAGCAGGTAACACATTTCAGCTTTTGAGCCATAAAGTGATCTTTTTTTTTTAGGAAAAAAAAAATAGCTCTCACAGCTTTAATCTTATATTTCCATGCGTATTGAGTTAAATGTTGTAAAACTATCAATTCTGTCAAAACCTGGCAAAGAGAAAACAAGACACCATGCAATCTTAATGTCCAAACTGACTGGTGATTATCAGGAATTAAATGCGCAGGAATTCCAAATCTTTTTTGATTTGAGATGTCTGGATAACTTTTGTTTTTCCATAATTGTATGAGGTTTCTACATAGTATTTAAGAATCAATTATATTGCAATTGATGTAATTAACTCTAATAATCCATTAAAAGTCGGTAGGAGGGCTATTCAAGTCAACAGAAAAGAAGGAGTAGATTATGAAGGTGTTATTAACCTATACAGAATTTTACCAGACATTTTCTTTTCTTACATAATAAATACACAGTGGTTAGGAAGGCTGTCATTATAATTTAGTGTGAACAATAGTCTATCACTTCTTTCCTATGCAACCCTTAACTAATTCCATGCACCATGCACAAGTAAAATGAAGCCTTTTCTAATCGGGGTGCAGTTGAATCAATCATCTATTACTCCATGATGAACGGTGGGGTCCCTGCTCAGCTAAGTGGAAGGGACGCGGGGCCCAGCAGAAATGTCAGGCCCACCTTCTCTTTGAATTGACAACTTTTTGCTTATGATGTACTGCCTGCGTTTAGCAAGCGATCAAAGAGAAAGTTTGAGACAAGACAAAGTCCTGCTTACACTTGACAGGTACTAGCTTGCCACTGACAGCACAGCCATGCTTCTGAGCCAGCTGTGGAGCCTACTGCTCCTTTGAGCCAAGCGTAGTCCATGCTACCCACCCCTGGGGCCTCCCACTCCCAGCTGAGGGGGTTCACTTGGCTCCAGCTATCAACTAGACTGACACCTTAAACAGCCATCCTCGGCAGATCTCCGTATCACTGGGTCTCCAGAGCTCGGGGTGTGTTTAAGGCCACAGCGCCATTCCCTCCAGCTTCCATCATTCCTGGCAAAACGGGATGGGAAAAGAAGTCAAGAGGTTGGGATTTTAAAATATAGGTCAGAGTTGAGCCTGGTGGCATGGCACAGCAATCCCAGAGGCTCGAGAGGCCGAGACAGGGCATAGTGAGCTCTTCCCGGCTACAGAACAATTTTAAGGCCAGTTTGAGTTTGTAAGTTAGAAAGGCCCTATCTCAAATTTTTAAAAAAAAAATTAAATATGGGGCTTAAGATGTAGCTAACTACTGGAATAACTGCCTAACATGTGTGGTGCCCTAAGTTTGAGCCCCAGTCCTCAAAATAATTAACTAGTGGATTAATTAATTGGAGGGCACCAATCAGACCGACCTTCTCTGAAGGGAATCTCACATTTTCTCTTCCCCGTACGGCTTGTCTAGCTTGAAAAAGAGCAAAAATGTTGTTTTAATTCTCTAATTATCTGCATGGAAGAACACCTTTTTGCTTACCTCAGCCTCTTACCTACTGCCTTCCCTAGAAATACAGACCAGGTGGCTTCAGCTAGCCTTCTGTAGGTGTCACAAAGGGCAGCTGTCCCTGGCAATGGTGTAGAGCCCCCAAGACACATGGAGAAGACAGTGCACCTGGATGGGTGTGTGAGGGAATGTAGGGTAAAAAGAGAGACCACCATTCCTTTGTAAACAGGTTGGGGAAGTCCCTGAATCAGAGCCCTGATTGCAACAGGCTGCATTCACTTAGAATTAAATCAAAAGGGATGTGAAATACTATTTGTAAAGCACAGGGCTCATCGTGGCAGATTTAGCATTGGCTAGAGTCAGAGAGTTTTCAAAGTCAGGAAACAGGGACAAAACACGGCCCTCAAACCTTGCTGCCCATGGAAACATCCGCTGCCCGTGGAGGCATCTGGGGAGTTGTTTCAAGCTACACTACTCATCCCCTGAGTGACTCTGATTGGAACTCCAGGCTGAGAGACACTTGGATAAGGGTTTGGCTGGAGATAGATTCCCATCCATTCACAGATAGTTGAAGCACTCAGAAGCCTTGGAGGATAGAAATAATTACAAGATATGGCTCAGGTGTTGAGCAACTTCAGCGGCAGGAAGATAAAAACAAAAGCCGTGTGTGGAAACAGGACCCACAGCTCACAGTAACAGTCCTGGTTTCCCTTTAGCTAGGAGCGAGACAGATCCAGCACTCCCTAGAGTGAAACTCTGCTTCCCATCGCTTTGGGTGAAAGTGCCCGTGTGAATGCCTTCTGTTGCCAAAGTGTGAACCCCATGCCTAGGCCCTAGCAATATTGTGGGTCACAGAAGTCCTGGAGTCTGGAGAGAATGTGGACCTGTCCAAGAATCAAGTATACTAGGGGGTTCCAGTCAGACGTGGAAGGAACAAAGACCCCTTTTCATTCCAGAGAGTGTCCAGTTTACACAACACAGGTAAGGCCTGGACGAGAAAACTTCAGATGTAGACAGCTGTGAGAAGAGCAGAAGACTTAACCTCTGAGGGTTTTACTTCGAGTCTCCTCCCCAAGGCCAGGCCCCAGAGCACAACCAGAGAGCACTGCCTGGGAGCAGGTGGGAAATGCCACCTTCTCTCTCTCTCTTTTCTGAAACTCCACTGTCCCTTTGATGGGTCCCGAGAACCCTGACGAAAGAGGCCTGGTCCAAGAGTCAGAAGGCCTACCTTGTCATCCTGCCCTGCCAGTAACGAGCTACAAAACCGTGTCTCTCTCGGTGCCACATGCATTTCCAAAGCAGAAGGCTCAGGAGACTGGCTCCTCCCTGGTTGCCTCACAGGATTGACATGGGGGCCACACGGAAACCTTTGAAAAAGTAGAAAACTTTCTCTGAAATTCAAGAAATGAATTTGACACCTCCAAGTAAAATGCTGACCTCTGGATTATGTGGTCTGGTCGTGAGCCTTGTCGGGCCGCTCACCAGAGAACGTTCTGTCTGCCACTTTGCTTTGAAAGCGTGGGCTGGTCTCTTGATAAGTGACCACCAGTGTCCATAAAGACTTGTAGTCGAGGCTGTTGTGCCTGCCGCATCCCCTCTGGCTTTGGCAGAGGTGACCTCTCCGGGCCTACGGAAACTGAAAACACTGTTGCTTTGCCCAGCAGTCTCTTGCCCCTGGCCTCAGCCTGCTCACACATATCTGGAGGTGCCCACGTCATCTGACCCCAACCCCACTCATGTGACATGGGGAAAAAAATACCTCAGCCAGGAAATGGATCTTGTGCCGTTATTTCATCCTCCCCTCACGTGGTGCTGGAATATCGCTTTAAAGGACATTCTTGCGGCGTTTCCAGTTCTTTCCTTTAGTCCTGCCGCGGGAGGAGCCGGTCTGAGGGGAAACTGCTCCCCAGCAGAGCCATTCTTCAAAGGGGACTTCTTCGGGCAGGAAGAGGGAATGTCTGATATTGTGGCTGAATAAACAGACCCATCACGCTCAGAGCCAGATTGGAAAGCCAGGCCCTCCGAGCCCGCCAGCCCTCACCTCGTGCTGCTACAGCTCTATCTGTGATGTCCTTCTCCTCTCTTTTCTTCCACTGTGCTGTCCTTTTCACCAAATGCCTTAACATTTGGAGTGTGGGATCATTGTTTTCTTATATTTATGGTTGTGAGCCTAGCCTTTAACAGCCGAGCCATCTCTCCCGCCCAGATCTTTGCTTTCTTTACTATTTTTCAGCCAACCTAACATCACTGGCTCTGCACACCTCAACCAGAACTACATGGTTTGCAGGGTCTGCTGCCACAGCCCACAGTCATCAAGCATCTCCATGGTTTTGAAGGGAGAACAGCCTGGCAAACTGATGTGCACCCAAGGTCCATGCTCCAAGGAGGCTGAGGCAGGTGGTCACCAAGAGGTCAAGGCCATCCGGCGCCACCCAGTGAATTCTAAGCCAGCCCAGATATATAAGGAGACTCTATCTATAAAACTAATCAGGTCAAACAGGTGATTCATAACACAGTGTGTCAGGCTGGGGCAGCTCATTGCACTGATAGGACCGCAAGCTTTCCAGGGTTCCAAAGAGCTCATGGTCAGAAACAACAAACAATAACAACCACACTCTCGAAGATAACTGTCGCCTCTGTCCCCTGAAACGGTGCAATGCTTCACAATCTATAGTAGAAATGCTCAAAGATAAGCAACCTAAACCTTTATTATCATCAGTTTTTCCGTTGACAAGATGGTCATAAGCAAAATTCCAAGCCACGGGTCACAGGAGGGCTCAGGCTTAGAAACCGGAATTTCTCTTTTCCGTACTGGAAAATTTGGGATTTTCTTTTAACATTAAATAAGCACCAAAAGACGCAGCGGCTATTCGGAAAACCTGGATATTACCCCATTGCTTTTGTCATGCGTGCATCGACACATTCTGGACACAAATGCTCCATGGGTTTCCCACCTCAAAATTCCAGTCCCATCAGAATTTGTTTCCAAAAAAACCAAAAGTTATGTTTGCTCTAAGCATTCCAATATCTATTTATTATAGTTCTTTGTGGGAAATATACCGAGAGACACACAAGTTTGGGAGGGTTAGAAAACACTCCAGGGCCTAAGCTTCAAATGAGAGTTCATTTCTGTAAGTTAATTCATTCCTTCCACAAGTGCCTGTTGGTAGATGTGTTATTCTGCTTCCTGATTGGCCCCCTGCCCTTTTGTAGCAGAAACAATAGTTAAGCAGAAAGTCACATCCATGTTTGGCTAATTGGGATGTCTGAGAGCCAAAGCAGTTTAAATTGTCTCTCAACCGTGGGCGTTTAAGTAATCATTTAGTGGCCCCCCACTCTGCCATCAGCATTATTGATGTCTTCTGTGGATGGTGGCTCCTGGCTGTAACCATGTCAAGAGGGACACTGAGGAAAGAGGCTTACTATGAGTTCAAGGCAAGCCTGGCCCAGAGTAAGACTGTCTCTAGTAAAATAACAATAATAATAAATAATAGCCTATTTGTTCTCCTTAGGATGATCAACACCTTCAGAGTGTTCGTTTATTAGTAGTATTACTAGTGAGTATTGTAAAAAGAAAAAAAAATCACAAAGATCATTCCACTGTGTTCCCTGTCACTAACTCAGACCAACAGCCAAATGTGCAAATTAGTGCACACACTTTACCATTCTATAAACCTATGCGGTGTCTATTCTTGGTGAAAGAATTTTTAAAATATCCTAAGCTGGCTACTCAGGTGCCCACTGACAAATCCCCAGATACTTACAAAATATCTCATCAACAAATAGATTTTTCATTTTTTAACTGATTTCTGTATAGGCAGCATCATCAGTTTCCTGTCAAACGAAGAATAAAGGTCAGGGACTATTTTTATCTCCAATGGTCTCCTCTCCACTCAGCATGGCTCGAGCTCCCCTTGTGCAACCACGGACGCAAACATCCCTTAGACACGGAGAGAGGGACAAGGTGGGAGGCATGGTCTGGGTCACCTTTGGCCAGGCTTTATTTGTTCTACAGATAAAAAGAAAAAAAAGAAAACCTTTGGACTTCTTTATCCAACCAGTCACTTTGCATCCACAGTAAACTCCCTCAAAACTTTCTGTTCCCGTCAGACCCTTGAGAAAACAAAACGAAAAAAATAAAGCATGATTAAAATCTACTTTCTTTGGTCAACATCCTAGTGTTGAGCAATTTCTTGACATCTAAAAGGGACTGTCCTGGAGCCTGGCTGGGGATGAACTCTATATTGATCCAGTGGCTGGGCCAGTAGCAAGCAGAGGAAGAAAGCTAAGGTTGCCCTCGGACCCTGGGTCTCTGTCGTGTCCCCCCCCCTCACTCCATCACCAGGACCTCATCCACACTTTCATTTTGAAAAGAGTAATCTCTGCACATTTAGAACATATGCCTCTTCCAACAGTAGAAAGTCAAATATTTTCTTTTAGAAATTACATACTTATTAGCCTGTCCTGAATACAGGAACTAGTGTCACTCGAACGCTACACCTGGGTCCAGGTGTGAGCTATTACATGGAACCAATAAGCATGGAGCATTATTGAATGTCAATTAAAAAGGACAAAATTTAAGGTGAAATTAAAATTAAATTGGCTTAACATCATCTTCCTCAGAGCAATCAATCAGCTTGGATTCTCTATGAGGTGGACCTTACTTCTGGATCCACTACATGAAAAACGTGGGTCTCTCTCACCCTCCCCGTCAATCACTGCTTCATCCTCAGGAATGCCTGTGCTCTAGGAGAGATCTGCCGTTGATCTTGCTGAGTGTCTGTGAACAAGGATCAATCATTATACTCATATTTTAAGTACAAGCACAATTATGAGAAGCTTTCTTTCGCTCTACTATCAGGAGTGCTGAGATGACTCAGGATTTGAACCACAAAGGGCTGCCTGATAGCTCTGGCCTCTTCACCAAATGTGTGTGACAGGCCCACGTTCTGCAAATAGACGAATTTTAGAGAGCAAAGAATGGTAAGAAGGGGAAAGTGGAGGGTGGCTCTCGGCTGAAGGGCTTCTATGAGGCTCATATCAGGTGTCTACGGGAGGCTTTTGTTTCCTTAAGAAGTGGGGAGGGAGAGGAGATACTGACAGCCAGAAGTCTTCCTGACAGACGCACGCCATAACCCTGTCACCAGTGAAGGCCTAGATTAACTCCCCCAGGTCGGCATGGAAATCCCTGGACTCTGCAGCTTTACGTTGAGGGGTTAGATAATGGCTTCCACAGTAAAGAGGAAAAGATGGATCTTTTTTTTCCTCAAATAATGATGAATGCTTGCATACTCAGAGACTGACGTCTGACATGAGAAATAACTGTCCCAGAGAAGTGATCATCAGATTCTCGTCTTTGTGAACTCAGTGTTGGAGGTCTTTTATACCATACTATCCCTTGGGCTTATGTGTAAATTCAGTTCATCAAATCTTTTCAAAACACTGTCCTTGACTTTGACCCATAAAACAAAAGGAAGTGAAGAGAATGGGTCAGGTATTGAGAATCTTCTTCAGAAATATGTATACATGCTTCTATATGTACACATATCACAAACATAGATGTGTGTACTTATGTGTATACTTGTGTGTGAGCAGAAGGCCACTGCCGTTCATCTGGGCAAAGCAGGCACCAAAAGTGTGACAGAGCACACATCAAGGACTGGAGCGATGGCTCAGCAGCTTGGAGTGTGCATTGCTCTTACCTACTGAGGACCAGTTCCCAGTGGACCCTTGAGGTGCCTCAGCACTGCCTCCAGCTCCAGAGGCACCCCTGAACTCACATACACACACCCCACACACAGGACACACACATAATTAAACATAAAATACAAAGAGGCTGAAGAGCTGGCTCGGTGGTTAAGAGAACCTATTGTTCCTGCCAAGGGCCCTGGTTTGGTTTCCATCACCCACACGGTGGCATACAACCCTCTGTAACTTCAGAAGCTGATGTCTTCTGGCATCTGCCTTTTCTGGGCACCCATGTGGTACACACGCAAATTGCTCACAAAATACTCATACACATAAAATTAAATAAAATCTTTTTTAAAAACTAAATTAAATATTTTTAAATGGCAAATGAGCATTGGCTAGCAGAGTGAAGAATTATCTATAATTAAAGTCAAGCAAATTTCCAGTGAAAAGAGATTTTTTTCAGATGAGCAAAGTTGTATTCAAAATGGAAGGTCTTCACACTGGTAAATCATATCCAGGTCTACAGGATTCCCAGATGTAAGGAAAGAACGGATCCTGGCACACTAGCCTGGAAGCTGAAGTTATTGGATTCACAGAGAACAACTGATGTAATGGGTCAGAATTCAGTCTTGCTTGAAACATCCTGGAAAACATGGCAAATCATGTTGTTGTCCATTTAAACGACCCCATAATGTGCTTTTGTGCTACAGAAGACAACGTTCAAGTAGGCACAGGGTTGACACGGGTCCCAGGAATTCTACCTTTTCAGACATTGACCTTTGTTCCTGAAATGTCAAGGTATCTCTTATGTCATCACAAGCCTGTTCTCCCAGCCCCTCAGAGTGCCACCATCGAATGGACACGAACGGTGCCAAAAGTGATAAGACCTGGGAATTGCTGAGTGCCACCAATCCTTCTGTCAACAAGGCTGACCTGAAATCTCCTTTTGCATAAAGGACCTCTCTCGATCTCCTTCCTTTAACTGTGCAGAGGAGAAACACACCAAAGCAAAGTCTTCGTCAGTTGCTCTCCAAAGCTGGGTTCTCAGGTGGGAAGCGGACACTGCCTCTCTTAATTACACACTGTCTGAACTCAACACTTCGGTTGTCCCAAGTTGTTCTAAACCCCACAAAGACAGAGAGCTAGGGAGAATGGAAGCCCAGCAAGAGCAAACTCTGACTTTTTAGCTTCTTCAAGTCCCTCTTCTGAGTCAAAGAAGCTAGTTTGAATCTCATGCGTAGCAGGGATGAAACAACGTTCTGCCAAGCTACAAGAATGCTTGAATGAGGCCAGGGAATGAATTAGTGCAGCAAGGGGGTCATTCAGTGGTGGCCAGACGCATCCTGATATATTCTTCTTGCTACTGAGAAAGTGAGAGATGATAAGAATAGTTGTTCTGTCTGTTTCAGGAGCAAACACTCTTGATAGTATTGATAGTTATTGCTCAGAAGTTAGTCATGAAGACTGTCTTGTCGAATTCAAGCTAAGTCTTCCTCTTAGTGCCTACGTTGTACCAAGCATGACACATGCTAGACGAGACTCCCTGTGGGCACCTCTCATTAAGATGGTCACATCAAGTATTTCTCTCTTTCCATGAACAAATCATTCCCCTGTACTAATGAAGAATCTATTCTTCCAAGCCTTGGAATATAGATTCTCCAGTGGAACCTTTTACACATGGGAGACAGAAGAAATGATTGCCTGGCTTTCAAGATGATATTTTAGAATCTTTGCAAGATCCACTCAAACGTCTTAAAACAGTGGCTCTATGGGAAGCTAGACAGAACGTAAAAAATCTGATGTCCAAACACTAAAGAAACTTGAGTGTGGAGATAGAGTCCGGATTAGCTCCTGGCCAGAGACACAAATGGAGAAATGCTCAGGTTGCTCTAGCCTCAGCCACCATCTTAATGATGACCACATGAGACTCCAAGTAAGAGCAGCCTATCTGAGCCACCAGCCCAAGAACTGTAAATAACACTACAGCCTATCTTTTGTCAGAACACTTAAAATTCTTTATTAACAGCAATGCTGGCTATCTGGAACAGTTTTCTATATTCATTAAGTACACAGGCTGGTAAAAATGCAGCTTAGAAAAAAAAGGGATCAGTAGCATGTCTAATGAGCTCTATCAGATACATTATGTAGGTATATCAGCAACAGTAAAGACCACTGGGAAACTTGACAAGTCTGTGGATAATTGTGGCCAAGAGGAAATCTGCTACAGAGAAAGTAACTTTTTTTTTGAGTGGAATTTTCCAAACTCACCAACCATCTCAACAATATTCATTAGCTGATTGCCCAGTGCTCAGTTCTCCTTCACACAAAGCAGAACTCGTGACTATGTTAGCCAAGGTTCTAGGTACAAAGTGGACAAAACATATCAAGCCAAGGAAAAGCATCAATAAGCAAAGGAAATAGGTTTCAGGGAGCCCAATCTCTCATTTATTTTGTACAACAGACTGTGGTCCAGGTAGCACTGTAAAACAACCAAATATAGCCGGAGATAAGTGTGGGCGGGAGTGGAAAATAGAGGCTAAACGCCGGGCACAGGCAGCTGTGACATCACACAGCCCCCGTGATTGCGCTGATACAGCCACCCCTTTATTATGACAAGCTTAATTATGACACGATCCATATCTCTCATGTCTTTGATGGTTGTAAATAAGTCTGAGTCATTCCACCATCATTCTTACCAGAGACACAATAGTTCTAGCCTTTGGGGGTAGCGAAGAAAGTAAATGCCAAAAGGATGGGTTTGATCCTTTGTGCCTTTTTGAGGTGAAATAAAACCATAACCTGCCCCTCCTGCCCTGAGTATCAGGTTTTCTATGACTGAGCACGTCTTCCAGGTGCTCAAATGTCACACCCCCTCACTGACAGAATTCTTTCCACTCTTTCACAGTCCAAACCTACAAAGCCCCATGCCTGAAGAGGAATTCCATGTCTTACCAGAGTACAAGATTGTGTTCAGAACCAGCTGAACACAATATTGATGCATTTTTAACCAACTTTATAAACAACTTAATAACACAGTTTAAAACAAACAAAAAGTATGGTTGACAGTTTCTACAGATCCAGGAAGGCGGAGCATCTACAAACCCTCCATCCTTCTTCTGTGTGTGTAGACAGAACCCAGGACTCCGCACCATTCTCACTATGAGCAGGATGGGGAGGAAGGTGCCTTTGCTGGATGGGGATTAGGGGGAATGACCGGGCTCCAAGAAGAGGTGATACAGAGATCTAACTTATGCACACAGGAACCACTTTCTTGGTTTCTTTTGATTCTGCTATGTTAATGAACTCAATTCAATCAATCTGTCGTGTCCGGGCACAAAAACCTCATTAGATTTGTTCTTGAAGAGTTTTCAAGAAACTGTGGGTTATGGAGGGCTAACCAGTTGGATGTCTCACCAGAAGAACCAAGAGCAATGATGCAGGACCCTCTTTTGTAGAGAGACAGGAAATATCCTCATCACGTTAAAATCCTCCCAGGCTGGAGGAGTGCCTCAGTGGTTTAGAGCACTGGCTGATCTCTCAGAAGCCCCAGGTTCAATTTTCACACCTACAAGGCAGCTCACAACCATCTGTAACATCCTCTTCTGGCCTCTTCAGGCACTGCATGCACACAGCACATGGACATACATCCTTACACATAAAACAGAAATCAATAAAATCTCAAATATTTTAGTTAAAAATCAAATAAATGTACATCCCTACCAGCAGTGGAGGAGGGTTCCCCTTTCTCCACATCCTCTCCAGCATGTGTTGTCCCTTGAGTTTTTGATCTTAGCCATTCTGATAGGTGTAAGGTGAAATCTCAGGGTCGTTTTGATTTGCATTTCCCTGATGACTAAGGAGGTTGAACATTTCTTTAAGTGTTCCTCTGCCATTCAATATTTCTCTATTGAGAATTCTCTGTTTAGCTCTGTATCCCATTTTTTATTAGATTACTTGATTTTTTTGCTGTTTAACTTCTTGAGTCCTTTATATATACTGGATATTAGCCCTCTATCAGCCCTCTATATAGGGTTGGTGAAGATTCTTTTCCAATCTGTAGGCAGTTGTTTTGTTTTGATGACAGTGTCCTTTGCTTTACAGAAACTTTTCAGTTTCATG